TGCGGAATCCGCCCTCCCGGGCCCTTTTTAAGCTCTTGGAGTCATTCAGAATGTACCAACCACAGTCAGGGGGTGGAGTGAGGCGGAGAGACCGAGAAAGGGGCCAGAGATGGAGAGCAGCAGAGGGAAGGCCCTGGCACAGGACTCCAGCCGCCTGTGTGCGTCAGTCATCTCAGAAATCCACTGTTGTCCTCGCTCTATAGTTGCAGGGAGCTTTGGGCAATTTCTCCCCGGGTTTTAGACACCCATCCCATCCCTTTTCCGACCCACCTCCCGGGCTTGGTTTACAATGCATGCTTGCTGGTGCGTTTTAGATTGGGGGTGGGGAGGGGCGGATACTAAGGGCAGGGAACCCATCTTCCAAATGCAGGTGCTTGAAAGATAAACGATGCGATCCATGCCCAGGCCAGAACGACTGTTCTGTGAATCTTAACGGTCCGCATACTTGTCCCTGGCTAGGTGATAATCCTTTCTTTAGAGTCACACCATAGCACAGGCTGATTGTAGACCAGGCTGGCCTTGAACTGCCTGCTTCTGCTTCCAGAGTGCTGGGATTTTTCTTCTTCTTTTAAAATCTAAATGCACAGTACTGTGGGTAAATGAAGACAAAGAATTCTTGAGTCTTTATTAAGACCAGGTGCTTGGATCTTAAATATGGTCTGGTAAAAGATATCCAGTGCAAAGAGCCTAAAATGCTAAGAGATGGTGAGAACAATAAGTCTTTTGTTGGGGCTGGACTGTGTATGTGTGTCTATGTGTGTGTGTGTGTGTGTGTGTGTGTGTGTGTGGTGGTGTTTGTCACCGTGCAGTCATTTAAAAGATTGTAATGGGTTAACTAGAATCCTTCAATTCTAGGCACAAACACTGAAGAGTTCTACCTTCTGGCACCTAGCATGCTCTGGGAACAGCAGGGGTCACACACAGCAGGGGTTGAAAAAGGAACAGACACACCACAAAGTATACATTCCTTCTTTCCATTATGAATGATTTGAATTATTAAAGATATAGACTTCTGTATCCCCACCCCTACTACTGTACACACATTTACTTGGGCTGCATTGTTTTATTTTGGAACACCCCTGTTTAATGTTATCACACCACACATAGCCATTATGGAAAACCATGGCTTTGGGAGACAGACTAGATATTATGGCTCCCATCTGTAATCCTAGCACTTGGCTGGCTGAGGCCAGCTTCTATTTGTGGACATGTGTCCCACAGCCCAAACAATCAAACAAATAAGAAACAAAAAGCAGGAGAAAAAAAAAAAAAAGCAAACAAAACATACACCAAACAGCTTTGTGGGGTTTTCTGGAAGGTGGTTACTAAGGCATCTGGAATCAAGTTATAGCTCACCTCAAAACCTACTTATTCTTGCCAGTAGGTCTTTAGGCCTTCTGTTTTACTTAATATTTGGAATATAAGTCTAAATTGATCTCTGCATTTTATTCTCCATTTTCTTAGTTTCCTCTCATTTTCAAAGGTCTTTCCAAATGGTCACACATTCTCCTTTAAGTCCATTCATTATTTTATTGCATCTCCCTGATATATGACCAGCACACCCTCTTAAAACCCGCTGGCACCTCAAATGCAGTGTTTCTCAAGATCCTCTTGATCATCCGTTCAACGCCTAGAGGTTGTTTCTGCATGGAGACAGGTAGGCTCAAACACCCAACTCAGCAGTGCCTACTTCCTTGAGTCATTCTTCAGAACCCTTTCTTCTGAGAGTGGGTCTCACTATGTAGTGAAGTCCAGCCTTGAACTCCTAGAATCCATTTCCGCCTTCCAAGTGCTGGAATTAAAGGTGTGTGTCTCCACATCAGGATTCAGAGCCCCTTACAAACCAATCCCAGTAGGAATAAGGATTAGGGGGAAAATCTTTCACTTAATATTTTTTGTTACAAGTATCTTGCATGGCAGGTGAGATGCCTTAGCTAATACAGGTGCTTATCTGGCAAGCCTGGAGACCTGAGTTTGATCCTTGGAACCCAGAGAGATGGAATTAAGAGAATTGTCTCCTCAGTTTTCTGACTTTCACATATATGCTTTGGCAATCACATACTAAATAAAATTTTAGTCATTTTCTTATTCTTACCATGTCTCCATTAACTATTCCTTCTGTCTAAACTCTAGACCAGCAGTTCTCAACCTGTGGGTCATGACACATACCAGATATTTACATGACTCAAAACTAGCAAGATTTCAGTTATGAAGTAGCAACAAGATTATTTTATGGTTGGGGGCACCACAATATAAGCAACTGTATTAAGGGGCTGCAGCATTAGGAAGGTTGTAGACCATTTCAACACTTATCTTCCCTTTTGTTTTTCTCTAAGAGAACTCTCTTGACTCTGAACTGGAACAGTAAGTATCACCTTCCTCATAGATTTGGCACTTCTCAGCAACTACTTATGAGAATCAAACAGAGAGTAGGAACTAGGATATCACTTTTGAGATTAAGTCTACCCTGCCCAGGCTGGCTAGGACCTCAGTAGGTTTAAATCATCAGCTTCTCACTAGATGTGACTGGACAGACACTAGCCACCATGAAAGACAACATCCCCATCTTTGTCCATACCTAGCACCCTGTGCTTTGTGCATTTTCAGGAAGCCTACACAAAGGTGCTAAGAAACCTGGGTAAGTGGTTAGAACAATTCAATTATTGGTTTTTCTTTGGGAACCTGGACTTCCGAGCTCAAATTTAGTAAAGCTCAATATAATTCTTCCAAAGAGTTATATACACTATAACTCACCTTGTGATAGTTACTGGCATAATTTTTATTTACATAAGCAAAATGTCAAGATCCAGGTAGTTCTACTACACTGATTTGCTAAGGGCAATAATTGTAGCTTTGTAAGATACTGCCACTGGGACAGCACTTGAGAAAAAGGAACTAGAAGTATTAGAGTTCTGGAAATAATTTGTCTACCCATGAATGCCAAACATTTAAAAAAGCATGTAATCTGAGCCAAGCTTGTTCACACAGTCCAAATTCCCCATGTTTTAAGTCACTGTCCTCATATGGTTTACTCTAAGGGGAGGGTTGAGAAACAGCATGCACATGAAGAGATGGACAGAGACTGGCAGTATACTTACACAACAGAGAAATACAAAGCAGGGGAAGCTCATAGCGAGTTGTTGCCAGTTTAGAGGGTGTTCAGGGGTAGATGTCCTTAACAGTGATGTTTAAACAGGTCCAGAGAGGTCAAGTGCACTTGTCTTGGAGACACTTCCAAGTGGAGGAAACACTAAATGCAAAAATCCTTGGGATATTTACAATCTTAATGTCTGAATTTATAGCATAGACTGGATGTGATTGGCAGACTGCAGAGAGGGGAGGAGGGCTGCAGATCCAATGGGCTTGGCCGGGTAGAGGAGCTAGAAGAGGCAGTGGTTGGGCTCTAACTCGTTCTCAAGGGAAAGCAGTCAGGATCTGCATACAGATGATCTGGTTTAGAAGATTAGTAAGATGGGAAGAGACTAAAAGGCTGGTCTTGGAGAAAGGAGGGATGACATGCTCTGTGAATGTAGATGCAGCACCGGGAACTATGTGGGAAAGCCAGGAATGCAGACTGGCTTGTTACAGGATAGTTCTGTAAAAAGACCCATTTCAAACTGTCGGCTCCAAGTAACCAATATGAGGGTTCATACTCATTTCCTATGACGTAAGAGGAACTATGGGAGTTAAATTCTAAGATTCTTCTTAAGGCCTTTCATGTTTGATCTTCCATATTCTAAAGCTAAAAAACCCAAGTTAAAACCAGTGATACCCAATGTTTTTGTTTTCTTACTTTCCATCATTTCTTAAAAAACAAAACAAAACAAAAAACCCCAAAAACAAAAACAAAAAAACTCCAACACCCCTAAATCCTTAAGACTTAAAATAGGAAAACCTGTTTAGTTCATTGCAGGTGTCATGGATCAAAGTTAACACTTTATTTCAGGTTTTCTTGGACACTGCCACCATAATTCCCTAAAAAATGGAAGCATGAACCCATATTCCACCCACCAAAAAACAGTAAGACTTACTTCTAACTACCATGAAAGGTAATGATTAGCATCTGAAATTTTATTTAGATATTTTTTTAATCATCAAGGTCTTTCCATACTTATTAGCAAATTTTCACTTTTTAATTATTTGGGGTGCTAGAGATTAATCCAGGACTCTATCAGAGATCTGTACCCCAGGCCCTGCATTTTCTTTTTGCCGATTTGAGTTTACCTTACCCAGAAGGAATCCATGTATTAAGAGCATTAACCTCTCCATTCGTTGCAAGTATTTTCTGTTACTTTTTGTGGTATGAAAACTACAGATTTCCTTCTTTGCTGCTTTTGAGGTTAAATCACTTTTAATTCGGTCACTGAAAAGACACAGAAACAACACCCCCTCCCCATTCCATTTCCAAGTCCCATAATCATGGAGTGACAGGCGCATGTATGCCATGTGCTGTCATACTTGTGGCTTTCTTATGAGAAGGAGAGGACCTCCTGAGTCACTCACACAGACTTGAAGGAAGAGTTGAAAATTCCAATTAGACCCTGAAGGAGGCGGGCTTGAAGAGTGAAAGTATTAGTGAATCCCTGGAGGAGCCCTAGGAAACAAAGAACAGGCAAACCAGGTAGTAACTAATCCAGGCTGCAAAATGCTGTAGGGGAGAAAAAGTAAGACCCACCCCCCCCCACCAGGCTTTCCTAGTTTTCTCATTTCTTTCTATGTTATTCAGTGGCCTGCAGCTGGCTTTCTTCAGCCCAAAGCTTAGCCAGTGTATTACAATACTTGGAAAATGAAGTGGGAGCTTCATAACAAGCCATTTTCATTTCCATACTCCTATAATATGTAATGCTACCCCCACTGTAAGTTACACATAAGCAAACTGGTTGACTACAGTTATATAGGCAGAGCTTACAATTTTCAGGTTTTTTATATGATTAGAGAATACGACAGTTAGAAAACCTTTGAGGTTAAAACTTCTAGAAATCAACCTTCAGGAAGATCCAATCTTATTTTGATTAGCAACAAATCACTCTTGAACTTACTTTATGTTCTAAGTACTTAAAAAGTCATTATGAAATCCTTGGCATAAATAATTTAAGGACAGGAGTGGAATTATGTCCACTATGTCATATATATTTCATGTGCTGTTGTACCTCTCTGCACAGGGAGATTTAGTGTGATATCACTACACTCATCATACACATGGAAAACTGAAAATATGTATGTCCCTGTTCCTAAATTTCAATTGCACTTGAGATACTTTAAGCTGTCTAGTCACCCCATCAGTCACAGGCTCCCAGCTTACAAGTGTTATGAAGTCAGTGCCAAAATTAATTAGGGTAAAGACCAACAGACAATGTAAAACAGTTTGATTAAGTATAATTCCCTACATAATCCTTAAAACTACTGGGAGAAGAAATTAAGTAAGATATATTTTGTTACCTTTTGATTTAATATGGTAACAAGTTATTTTGATAAATACATATTCAAATTTAGTATTTTTTATTTCATAGAGGTAATAAACACCCTGTCACCTAGAACATCGGCCAACAATAAGTTCTACATATTTTTCCTATTAAATATCTGTTGTGTTTTTTAATAACCTCATAGTGAGTAAAGGTTGAACAGATCTTTCCCTATCTGACTGACACTGCACATAAATCAGTGCTTCCAGGCTTCCAAAATGTCACGTGTTTTCCTGAGCCTACACTGTATCTATGTGGCTGTTCATATCACTCTTCTGTGAAGTATTACCTGTGTTAACTCACTCCAAGGTGATGCTAAGAAAGTGCACAGCCAGAACTCACACTCTTCGGCAGAAAAAAGAAGTGAACAGCACTGTGCTGTGTTGTTCACAGCAACTTCCATGGCTCACATGGCTGAGCACTACTGTGAAGCACACTCTGAATGAGCCAGGTGCAGTGGTGCACACAGGTAAGCCTGGCACCCAGAAGCCTGAAGCAGGTCAGCCTGTCTCAAAAACAGAACAAAAAAAAGTGTAGTTCAAGTCTTCAAGATTTTTTTTTTCAAAGATTTATTTATTATGTATACAGTGTTCTACCTGCATGTATCCCTGCAGGCCAGAAGAGGGCACCAGATCTCATTACAGATGGTTGTGAGCCATCATGTGGTTGCTGGGAATTGAACTCAGGACCTCCGAAAGAGCAGCCAGTGCTCTTAACCTCTGAGCCATCTCTCCAGCCCCAAAACCAAGATCTGTTTTAATAATAATAAAAAAAGTACATTTCTATCATCACTTTTGAAAATAAATCCTCGGAATTCTCACATACTTCAAATCCTGTAATGTGTTTAGATATTTAATGTATTGGAATGCTTTATTCAGGGGAGAGGAAGAAGGGTTAATTTCATGTTTTGTTTAGACAATCTCACCCTGTAGCCCACACTGGTCTTAAACTATCAATATTCTTGCCTCAGCCTCCTAAATGCTAGATAAGTGTGTACTACCATGTCTGGTTCTGGATGGAATACTTTAAT